GAGGACCGGCGCTGGCTCACTCCGGCGATTGATGTCACGACCGCCTTGGATTCAGTAGCAGTGAGGCTTTGCTGCGATGCAAATACCAACCTGCTCCATCTCGAGTGGGAACAAAGCTCACGTTCTGAGGCTCTGCAGCTCAACGTCAAGGCTTGTTTAAACAGCTCCTTGCAAGGGTTGGGTTTGTCTCCGGTGGGAATGTCGGAGTGCGCCGAGCGGATCCGGCGATTGATGTCACGACCGCCTTGGATTCAGTAGCAGTGAGGCTTTGCTGCGATGCAAATACCAACCTGCTCCATCTCGAGTGGGAACAAAGCTCACGTTCTGAGGCTCTGCAGCTCAACGTCAAGGCTTGTTTAAACAGCTCCTTGCAAGGGTTGGGTTTGTCTCCGGTGGGAATGTCGGAGTGCGCCGAGCGGATGGAGCGGGCGCTGCTGCCAACCCCTGTAGCACCTTTCACGCAGACTCATCCCCAGGCGCTCTGCGAGAGGGGAGCTCGCCGCCCCAGCTGCGCGAGCCGCTCTTGTTTGCCTTTGCCCCATCTCTTTTCCTCAGCCCAGTCAGGCTTTTGTGGTGTGTTTTTTTTTTTAAGTAGATTATATGTTTTGCTCAACAGGAGCTTTTCTTCCCGGATAAAAAAGAATGCTGTTGGCATGAAAAATGCTTTTATTCACTCCTGTCTCCCTTTGCTTCGCCCAGGCGTCCCCCTCCCCCCAGGCGCCCCCCGCCACTCAGGAGCGCCCAAGAGGTGCCCGGCGGGGAGCTCTGCCTACCTGTCTGTTTTCTGACCCCCCCCAATCCAAGGGGAAAGAACTTTTTCCTGGCTTCTGGTGTAACTGATAGGAGAAGAATTTTCCCTTCTGGTTAATCAGATTGAAATGCTGGACCTGCGCGGGTTGCCCGGTAATTCTCCTCTCTGACGGAAGCTCCCCGGTTCCCGGCGAGCCCCAGGGCAGACAGGCCTTTCCTCCCTGGCACGGCCGGCGTCTGCGGGCACGGGGCCCTTCTCTCGGCGGTGGGTGATGCTTAGGGAGGGTGTGGCTGTAGCGATGGTAGACCTCTATCCTGGGCTTTTTCCTAATAAAAATAGACGGAGTAGAGCCCTGGCTGCACGAGGGAGGCTAAACTTCAGCTTTTACCCAAGCATCTGGCCATCTTCCCTAAAATTTAAGTGCCTCCTGCAGCCCAGAGGTTATGGATTGGAAGAAATTGTTCTTCCCGCAGAGGGTGGGAGCACTGGGAGAGGTTCCCAGGGAAGCTGTGGATGCCCCATCCCTGGGAGTGCTCAAGGTCAGGCTGGCTGAGGCTTTGAGAGAACCTGGCGCGTGGAAGCAAGCCCCGGGAGATTGGATGATCTTTGAGGTCCCTTCCCACCCAACCCAGTCTGTGATTCTGTGAGTATCTAGAAAGCCCCTTCTTGTGAGAAGCGTAGCAGAAGCACGTACGTGTGCTGAAGGCTTCCTTTTCTTTGTTCAAGCGTCTCTCCTCCCCGTGGGGTTTTTTTTGAGGCGCTAAGAATCGCTCTTAAAGCCCGGTCGTCACCAAGGGGGAGCATCAGCTGACTGCACCGCGAGATGAAACGCGGCCGTGCTCCGTCGGGCATCCCCCTCCTTGGCAGCCAACTCCTCTCTGCACAGGACCCGTAAGGATCTCGCTCCATCCCTGTGCGCCGGGGCTCTGGGATCATACCTGGCAGGTAAACTGACTTTTCTTTGAGTTCTGCAACCGCAGCTGAGCAGCTACAACCAGCTCCTCTGCTGGAGGAGCACCGGTTTTATTTGAAACCAGCTTGATTAGTGCGTCGAAGCGTTTTGTTTACTTCTGAGCTTCCAGAAGCAGAAGGTGCCACAGCTTAAACCTGGGGGTTTTGAGACCTTGGAAGTCGAACAGGAAGCCAATTCAGTTTGGCTGTATCTAAATCAAGTTGAAAAGGGCCAACATGGTGAAAGGTGTGTGGTTTAACTGTTTTTAATTTGTACCTTAAGTTTTTGGTAGAGTAATAAAGGAGAGGCTTTAACACGCTATTTCCTTTTAAGTATACTTGAAGGTAGGAATGTGCCCGGGCTGCTCTTTCGTTTCTCATGTTTTCATAAAAACTCCATTATAACCAACCTTTCTGCCCCCAAGTGTGTATATTTCGCTGAAGAATTATCTTTCCTGTGCTCTGCTCAGCCCTGGAAGATCCAGGAGCTGCTCATCAAGTTGAATATTAACGGGCTTTTTCTCCTTTCATGATAGTTTCCTCTTAAAAGCTGTATAATTGATGGGTACGGTGCTCTCAACCCTTTCAGTCTCAGGGTCTTCCCTGTCCATTTGCTATTCCATGTCCCTTGGCCTGTTCTGAGCACACAGTACATTTGCTCATGATGCTTTTTAAAGACGTCTCACTTAACAGCTCTTCTGGGTTTTACTGGCATTTTCCTGTTGGTTCCAAACTCAGCAGCAGCTGCGTTTAGCCTGTCTGAAATACTGCAGCCCACCTTCGGACTGATAAGCAGCTGGAAACAGCGGCTAGGAAGCGCAGAGTGCAGCGTCCAGGGAGAATTAAGTGAATAGTAATGCAATTAGCCTAACTGATTTACCTAAGAGGCTGGAGATAAGGGATAATGGGTGTCTTCCTCCTAAAAGAGCCCTGAAGTTGAGCAGGACCTGCTTATTTTTCATTAAGCTCAAGGTAGCATGCCCCCAGCAGCCTGTGTGCTGTCTGGGAGCGAGAGGCTCTTCCAGTGCCGTGAATATCCTTGGATGCTGATGCTCCTTAACTCTGGTTGCCAGGGATATTACGGCTGAGGGCTCGGCATTCCCCTTGCCCCATGGGAAGGTGTCTTGAACCCAAGGAGGGGACAAGCAGACGTAGAGGACTGAGCTATCAGCCTGGGGAGAGTTAACAGTGGTGCTTAGATCTCTTTTAAAAACGCTTCTTCAGACTCTCTCTACCTGAAAGACCCTTTCTGCAGCGGGTAAGTACATGTCTCTGAATCCCTCCGGGGGAGGCTGGAAGATCTGATGAAAGCTGGAGAAAATCCTGCGTGCTGCTAACCAAGCCCCACCCTTCTCCTTGACATTGTTGTGTTCGCTCTTTGTTCCCAAGGATGGCGATGCCTGGGGAGCTGCTTACAGTTTTTCAGGCAGCTTGAGAAAAGCACAATGACAGCTGGGAGGCGGGGGGAAAAAAAAAAATATGTGGGAATCTGCTTTGGAGTTTCTCCTTCGCTCTTTACCCAAATAATCTTCACAGCGAGTAGGCAGAAAGCCAGGAATGCGTTTGACCCGAGGTAGTGTCTCGGATCAGGAAAGGAGTTAGCGAGTAAGTGCCTGATCTAGCTGGGTGTAGCACGCTTGGCTTGTGGAATTGGTTTGAATTGGTTGTGGCATCTGCCAACTGCTTGTTGTCTCCCATGAGCTGGGGTGGTCGTCCCTCACTAACCCCTAACAGCCAGCTCGTCTTCGGCATGGACAAGGAAGCCCGGGCAGGCAGTTTGGGTGAAATTGAGTCAGTCAGTTTGAGTAATTGTTGTTTTCAACTGGAATTCTGACCCTAGGTTGGGTTGGGAGTGGATCTCAGTAAAATCTAGCCAGGGATGACTTGGGTCATCTCTGTCAGCGGTTGCAACAGCGGCAGCAAGAAGGGCTGTCTGGACAGTCATCTTCTGGAAAGGCTTCTCTGCTTCCACGTCGTGTTTTGTGCTTCGGTCGGGTTCTGCGGCTCTGACATACTGAGTGTGACTTCGGTTCCTAAAGTCTTAACTCCTGAGCTGAAGAAGGCCCCGTTCCCACCAAAGCGGGTCACTTAAAGAAGGTGGTCTCTGGTCTGAGCGCTCGGTTGGTGACAGGAGTGGGGGGGTCTTGTTTTCGTTTCTGCAGCTTTGACGTGTTTGTGCTCCGACTGCAAACAAGCGAACTCCACGTGTGAAACGGACGGCGCCTGCATGGTATCGGTCTTCAACCTGGATGGTGTTAAACATCACGTTCGGACCTGCATTCCTGAAGCCAAACTGATAAAAAAACCTTCTATTGTCTGAGTTCGGAAGATCTGCGTAACACTCACTGCTGCTACTCTGATTTTTGCAACAAAATTGATTTGATGGTTCCCAGTGGTGAGTAAAGAGCTAAGTAAATCATCTCTCTGAAGTGGGGAGGAGAGAAGCTCTCTGTTTGGGATAAAGAGTCCTTGGCCCTGTTTTCACGTCTTCTCTCAGGTTGCCGTGTGAACTTGAGCACCGGGTTTATTTCCTTCAGCTGGAAAGTGGAAATAATAACAAACTACTTTGGATTAAAATGGGAAGTTGCTTTTAACTCCCCTGTGGCCAACACAGTGTCACCAGACGATGAGGTTGTACTTCAGGGAAGGAGAAGCTTCTCGAGTTTGGGTGGTTGGGGTTTTTTTCCCACCTGCACTCTGTAGCTCCGTATGATGAGATGATGCTGTGTGTGCTCCCTGGGCACGGCTCGGACCCCTTCTCTGGCACCACGCTGTGCTGTAGCCCTTTATCAGGTAGAGACGCTCTCCTCCTAGGACTGATCATCTTTTCAGCGATGAGCCATCGCTACGAGAAGGTTGCAGCAGCTTCGGAGTGAAGTGTGCGGAGTGGAGGGGTGCCCAAATTCTGATTACACCAAGAGGGAAGCGGCCCTGCCTTTGAGGGTGTGGGGAAACAGCTGCTTCTTTCCACCGTCTGGGACGGAGAGGGCAGTACTTCCTCACACCTCATTTCTCCGATTTGGGCTGTTGTTAGTGGGTTGTGTGGAGGCTGCAGTATCCCTGTACCTTGCGTGCAGTGGGGAAGTCTTACCTGGTCTCAAAAAACAGAAAGAATCGTTGTCTTGGGGTGCGAGTCTTCACTGGTTGTTACAGGGCGGAGAGGAAGGAGGGAGGGGAAGGTAAAAGACAGGCAACAGCAAATTCAGCCCAGAACAGGCTCCCGGCCGCTTTTAACAGCAAGTGCTGTAATCCCTGATCCCACAATTGATGTGCCGTCCTCTTTTTGGGGATTTTAGCTGTGGTTTGCCTGCCCGATGACTCGATGAGTCCCGTGTTGACTCTGTTATTTGGTGTGTCCTCTGCCGTCCTGAAGCAGCAAGCTAAAATTGTCCAGGATCCGAGAGGATAATTAAAACACGAGAAGAAAATCCTTAAAGAACGCTTGTGAGGGAGTGATGATTTCCTAAAAGCGTCTGCTTTTTCTCCTCCCTTTCCTCTCAAGGACACCTGAAAGATAACGAACCCCCATCGAGCTGGGGTCCCGTGGAGCTGGTGGCAGTGATTGTTGGGCCCGTGTTCCTTGTGTTTGTCGTCATGATTGTCGTAGTCTTCGTTTGTCATCACCACCAACGAGTCTATCACAATCGTCAGCGGCTGGACATGGAAGACCCCTCTTGCGAAATGTGCCTGTCAAAGGATAAGACCTTGCAAGATCTCGTCTACGATCTCTCCACCTCTGGCTCTGGCTCAGGTATTAAGATGTGAATGACGAATGAGAACTTGCAGTTGGAATGGAGTAGCCTGTTCCAGGCTCCTGGTTGCCACAGCTTTGCCACAGCTGTGAGGCCGTTGCCACGTCAGCCTGTTGGGGTTGCCCTGGGATGGGTGATGTGGAGGGTGTGTTTTTAAAATTTTGGTCACGCGACAGGCGCTGCAGCCACGGCCCAGTGTCGGCATCCAGTGCTTAGGGTAGGTAAGAGCGATAGTTAACTCCTCCTGACCTGCTGATGCCTGAGACCGTTTGGTGTAGCTTTCCTCCTTTTTGTCTGCAAGAGGCTCATCTCTCAGCTACATCTATTTCACATTCAGCCCTGGAACCGGATTTGGGTTGGAAACAAATGTTAACTGCTAACGGGTGGGTTGCTGGCTTTCAGAGGAGGATGTGGGATGTCACCTGCACCAAAGCTGGCAGGAAAATGGTCAAGGTCCCAGCAGCTGGGAACTTCACAGTATGCAAACATGGCATTCGCCCAGCCCGTTTCATCCCAGAGAATCTTTGGGTCTTCCAGAGTGAGCAACACCCAGTGTCGGCTTTTGTAGTGCTTAACTCCTCCCAGAACAGGTCGGGAAGTCATCGGTTTGGTCACGACTTTGAGCCACAAAAGCAGCTAGGTTAAAAAAAAAAAAAGAAAAAGGAATTTTGGGGCCGGTGGAAACTGCAGGATAATCCCCAGAGGCAGAGAACGTGACAACCCAGTGTTTGACCAGGGAATAAACCTTTAGCACCACATCTGCTATATACAAACTGGTTTGAGGTCTCTTCCGTCCGCGCTCGGCAGGTGAGCTCCATAGCTTACGCAGGAGGTGGCAGCATGTTGGGAAGTCCCTTCTTGAGAGGAGTTTTGGGACTTCCATGCTTTTTAGCAGTCTGCAAACCGGTTCCATTGCATATTCCGGCTCCAGTTCCTCTGATCCGCCGTGGAGCAGAAGTTCCCCGGCTGCTCCCTTCCCAGTCACGGGCGGTTTGCAAGGTACTTCAGAGCCGTATGCAGATGCTGGGCCTTGCTTAGCCTGCTGGTTGCCAACTGTAGGGCCTTCGAGGTTTGGTGATGCTCTGCTTCAGGGTTTCGGGAGTGTTTTGCTGCCACAGGTGTTCATTCATCCAATTTCTTGCCCGTAGGTTTGCCGCTTTTTGTCCAGCGGACTGTGGCTCGGACGATTGTCCTGCAGGAGATCATTGGGAAAGGCCGCTTTGGGGAAGTGTGGCGTGGCCGGTGGCGCGGCGGTGACGTCGCTGTGAAAATCTTCTCTTCGCGTGAGGAACGTTCCTGGTTTAGGGAAGCGGAAATCTATCAAACCGTTATGTTGCGACATGAGAACATCCTGGGGTTTATTGCTGCGGATAACAAAGGTAAAAAGGGCCTCGGCCTCCTCCGGTGCGCGGTCTGCTCCGCAGTTGCGTTTCTTCGCTTGGATTTACAATGAAGTGGGTGAAGAAAAGTGTGGGCATGCTTCCCAACTAGCTCTGTGTTTGAATGCTTCTCGCCAAGAGATGGTGAGATTGCTGCTGCCGTTGAAAGACACAGTGGGGCGTTAGCTCTGCCTTCGAGTCGTGTTTTGCCTTCACCGTATTCACCCCGAGGTGGGCCGTGGAGCTGCAGCATTACCCACCAGTTCTCCCCTGTCCCAGCGCGATGGGGCGCAGAATGCGGGATGGTCACGTGCTTCGTACCCGTCTGAGCACGCTCTTTCCCGCTGCAGATAACGGGACGTGGACTCAACTGTGGCTCGTCTCCGATTACCATGAGCACGGATCTCTCTTTGACTACCTGAATCGATACACGGTGACCATCGAGGGGATGATCAAGCTCGCCCTGTCTGCCGCTAGCGGGCTGGCCCATCTGCACATGGAGATTGTGGGTACTCAGGGTAAGAGCAGAGTTTGAAAAGATGCTGGGAATTCTCGAGGGGAGAATGAACCAGGATTGAGGAGGGGGATTGATGTGCTGCACAGAAAACGCTGCCTGAGTCAGCCCAGATTCGTTGGGTCAGACTTGCCCAAAATTGGCTGACTGCTTTGGCTGGCTGCGAAGTGGGTTAGCCCTTTGCTGGCTCCGGGGAGTTCTGTCAGCATTTCGCATCCCCATCCCAAAATCGGCGGGCTGTTGGCGCAGGCGGCAGCAGAATTATGAACTCCTGATGTCCACGTTGGTGACTGATGCCGGGGACGATGGAGTTTATGTCCCTCTTGAGGCCTCTGCCCGCTACTGCATCAGCAGCGGCTCCGAAGCATGAGCCTTTGCGTTGCATGGCTTGTCAGCAGGGCTCTGTTCTTCAGCTGAAGTATATCCAAACAGGAAAATGTGTTGCAACACTCGGAATGTAACTAACGCCCTGAAATCCGGTACTGCCTCCGCGCCTGTTTGACTAACAGATTTCACCAGACCTTGACCCTTGCTGCTTTTTATTTTGCTCTGTTAGGGAAGCCTGGGATTGCTCACAGAGACTTGAAATCCAAGAACATCTTGGTGAAGAAGAATGGCACGTGCGCCATTGCCGACCTCGGCCTGGCCGTCCGGCACGATTCAGTTACGGATACGATTGATATTGCACCGAACCAAAGGGTCGGAACCAAACGGTAGGATATGGTGTTCTTGGCCAGCGTTTGAAGGTGTTGGAGTGATTAGCAAATGCCTGAGCTCCTGAGCACTGCTGAAATTCTCTTTAAGTATACACAGTGTGCCCGGATTGGTGCTGAAGGGATGTCAGTACCTTCGTCTCCCGGTGCCATCAAGCTGAGAGGTGTAGGCCAGTGTTGTAAGAGCTAAAAACCCACCCAGTCCCACCCCCCGCCATGGGCAGGGACACCTTCCATACCTCGGG